GGGGGCGCAGGGAGCAGAACTGGGGAGGGGGTGAGTCACCGCTACAGGAATGTGGCCCCCAGAGGGGCTCGGCCCCGGCGAGGGGGGTCCCGCTGAGCTGGCCTCACAGTTCTTGCCTCTCGTGCTCCGTTTCCTGCCGGCTCATTCTATTCCTGGTTCTTCTGATCACTCGTGATTAGTGATAACTGTGATGAAACCAACCACTTCGCGCTCATTGTCGCTATAACGAGTCCCTTTAAATTCCTTAGGAAATGTGTCAGAGATTGAACAGCGGGGAGGGCGCTGGTCTTACACTGACCCAGGTTCGATCCCCGGCGCCCCATATGGTCCCCTGAACCCTGCCAGAAGTGAGCCCTGAGCACAGAGCGAGGAGTTTGCCCTGAGCACTGCCAGGTGTGGCTCAACTCCACACCCCCAGAAAAAAAAAAAAACTGTGGTGGTGGTGGGAAATTAAGTGGAAATAAACAGGCGAAGAACAAAAGGTGAGGGCTCCTGGGCCCGGCCGATCCAGCAGTCCATACAGCTTGTTTGTGTCTGTTTACTTCTGCATTTTTACCTCGGGGTGGGCTGCAGGGGTTGCGTGGGCTCTTTTATTTTTTGTTTGCTTTTGGGTCACACACGGCAATGCACAGGGGTTCCTCCTGGCTCTCTACTCAGGAATTACTCCTGGCAGTGCTCAGGGGACCATATGGGATGCTGGGAATCGAACCCGGGTCGGCCGCGTGCCAGGCAAACGCCCTCCCTGCTGTGCTCTCTCTCCTCATTGAGTCTCCAGGGTTGGGGGTGGGTGGGTGAGAAACGCAGGGGTCCCCCATTACCTCAAATTGAAACTGCCAAACCTGAGGTCAGGGGTCCTAGTCGGGGGCGGCAGAGAGGGCCCCTCCCTCCCCCAATCCAGGTCCCCCTCCAGGTACCCAGTGGTGTGTGGACTTCCTGGAGGGGGCTTCCTCCCCTCAAACTCGGAGCTGCCCCGCCTTTGGCCTCTGTCCCCTGTCCCCCACCCTTGGTCAGCGCCCCCCTTAGCTCTCACAGAGCCAGACAAATGCCAGATCCCACCCACAATGCCTGCCCCCAGCTGGGCTGGGTGTTTGCAGCTTTGGGGTGTCCCCTCCCCAGGATGCTCGCTCTGTGGTCAGTGCTGCCCCCTGGAGGTCAGCGGGCAACCCCTGAAGAAGGTCCTGCAGGTGCTTCCCTCCCTCCCAGCGGTGTCCCCAAAGGGTCACCCTCAACAACCCCCTTCCTGTGACCCGGCCACCCCGGGAGGCCTCTATGTATGTCCTCTGGCTCGAGGGGCTGATGGGGGGACAGTCTGTGGTGGCCGGCATCGTCTAGAACCACCCCACAACACGCTGCACGAGGCGTGACCTCGGTTCCTGAGCGTGCTCCCCCGCACCGGGACCTGACTCCCAAGGTGGAAACTGAGGCAGGGAGCGCAGGGGCGAGGCATCCAGGCTCGGCTAAGCGGCCCGTCGACCTTGAGAAGCTGAAGGTGCTGAGGAAGACTCACCTTCTCAGCGGGGGCGGGGTCAGGGGTCAGGAATGCAAAGACCCCTCCTCCCGGTGCAGGGGTCCCCTACCCCGTAGACGTGACGACGTCCTGTCCCCGGCCGCCGTCGGGCTTTATCAGCACTCAGTCTGCAGCACGGCCCAGATAGCCTGGCCGCTTATGCCTGTAATTCTTCTAATTCCCTCCACCTCCTACCCCATCGCTCCGCTCTGCGCCTCGAACAGGGGGCGAATCCGCGAATCCGGCCACCGCCGAGGCGACCCGGTTCCCAGGGAGGGGCCGGAGCCGGCAGCCCGTCCTGTGAATCGGGGCGTCTGTTCCCCGAGCTCTGCAGGGAGGGGGGCGGTAGGGGGTGGGCCAAGCGGGCAGGCCTTGCTCCCCCGTCCCCGCGGCTGGCCGGTGGGATGGAAAGGCCCCGGCCGCTGGACCGGGCTCTGTGCGGGCTAAGGCATCTCTCTCGCCTCCTCGGATGCCCTTAGGAGAGCCGCGAGGCCGGTTCCCGGGGTGCTTGGGCGGGGGCCCTTCTCCTTGACTTTTGGGAAAGACCATTGTGTGAGCGTCTGGCTGCGGCCCAGAAGGGGAAGTTGGGTCAGGGCGGCGAGGACCGAGGCATTTGCAAAGCGCCAGCCCCGCCCCGGCCCGGCGTTCTGCCCCCGGCCTCGGGGCTGGGTATTGTCATTCCTATTAGGCTGAGAAAGTTCCTAAATGCTGAGCCTCGGGGCCGAGCTGGTCCCTCCCAGCCCCGGTTCCCGCAAAGGAGGAGCTGGGCGCGCTCTGATCGGCCGGGAAGGTCACTGCCACAAGCTTCCGGGGCCCCGCGCTCCTCCGGAGTCTTTGTTGGGGTCCTGTTGCGGCTCTTCAAGGGCAATCTTCCTGGGCCCCCGAAACTGGAGCCTCCTGCTGGACAGAAGTGATTGGCTTATGGGTCGTGGCTCTTGGGCCCCACCTGACAGTGCTCGGGACTTACTCCTGCCTCAGTGCTCAGGGATCACTCCAGGTGGTGCTCGGGGGACCCTTTGGGGTGCTGGGGAACGAACCCAGGTCAGCGGCATGCAACGGGGGGGGGTGCCTTAAGCCCAGTGTTGTCTCTCTGGGCCCCGAAATGTGTACTCTTGGATTGGGTTCTGGAGTGACACCCCGCCCTGTGAGAGTTCGTGAGGAACTGGACACGGGACTCGGGCTCCGAATGCAAAGTCTGTCTCGCCCCAGCCCCAAGACCTGTACCATCGCCCCTCCCACCCCCCTACTCCCCAGCAACTCATGATACCCCTCCCCCTCCTCTCTCCTGCTGGGGTTCTGAGGGGCTCCCCAGGGGTGGATGGGGCCCATGACAACGAGTGAACCTGTCTCCAGGATTTTAGCAAGCAAGGGTGGACCCCAGTGAACACCCCAGGGCAGGGGATGGTGGTCCCAAAGCCCGCAGGGGCTCCCCCAGTTCTTGGGGAGGCAGGTGCCCTGGACGGGGGCCAGAACCCACACACGGGCCTGTTTACGAGTGGGTCAGGGGGGCGTGTCCCTCTCCCCAGAGCCGCCAAGCCCACGGCTGGACGCAGGAGCACTCGGTCCTGGATTCTCCCCTCAAATAACAGGGTCGGGGTGAAGGAGGCACTTCCAGCACCCCGTGGGCAGCAGAATGGGGGGGTGCCTGGGTGCTCCTGGAGGTCCGCGCTGCCACTCTGCCCGGCAGCTAGAACTGGCTGGGCACCGCGGGGGACGTGGACGCAGGCGGCATGGCTGGGCCTGCAGACCCGAATTGTGCTCCCGCAGAACAGACAGAAAAGGACAGAGGTCCCTGCCAGGCCGCAGGGTGAGCCCCCCAAGGGGTGTCTGCAGGGCAGGCTTAAGGAGCACCTTTGGGTGAGAAGCTGGAGCGATGGGGAGTGAGGCGGGGGCTGCGGGGGGAGGGGCAGCCCCCGAGAGAGGGTCAAGGATCCCAGTCTTGGCCCGTCCTTCGCTTCCGCACCCCCAGGGGGTCTGCGGAGGAGGCTGGGGGTACAGAGTGAAGTCAGACTTGGGGAGTCTGGAGCCTGAGCTCGCTGGAGACCCCTATGGCCCCCACCCCAGCTGGTCCCTCAGCTTCAAAGGACTCGGCCAAAGGACACCTCCTGTATGCATGGGCCGGGCCCCAAATTCACCCAAACAGGACGGACAGGAAGGGGGTCCCAGGGGGCCCCAAATGGAGCACACTGTGGGGGTCCTGGGAGGAGGTGGGCCCGGCTGCGGGAGAGTCCCACCTCCCCAGAGGGAGTGCCCAGGTGAGGGCCCGCCCCCTCCTAAGGAAGCAGCCGCCTCCTGCAGCCCACCTGGATTGCTGTGCTGGGGGGTCGCCAGCGGGGTCAGACTGAGCCTGGGGACCCTCCCTCCTGGGATGCGTGTGTGGAAGATGGGGAGAGTGGGAACGGAACCCCAACGGGTAGAAACCCAGTGGGTCCATCTCAGTGTTCCCTGCGTGGCCCCTCTCTGGGCCCCTGGGCAGAGCCCCCCGAGTCCCAGCTGCCCCCTCCCGGGCTCCAGAGTGTGGCCAGGCCAGGCGGCCCCGGGTCACAGGTGTGTCCCCTCCTGGGCGGGGCGGAGGGGGGTGACCGGGCCAGCTCAGGTAGCGGGGAGCAGAGGTTTTCACACCCTCCAGCCCAGCCAGCCGCCCCGCCCCCTCGGGCCATAATGGGCCCAGTAGGGGGTGGCCAGCACGTGGGGGAGGGGAGCCTTCCCCTGCAAGACTGGGGGCTCCGGCCTGAAACCTTCGTTTGGGGGACCCACGGGGACGGGGCGTACTGTCCTCGTGGCCCCGGGCAGGCCGCAGGTGTGTGCGTCGGGGGGTTGGGCTGCGGTCTTGGGGACCCCCGCTTTCTGCCGCTGGGTTCTGGAAGCCCACCCACCTCTCCACCCGGGCTGGCTGGGGGCGCCCTGCCCTGACCGCCGCTCTCCGCGGGCCCCCCGGACTCCCAGACCCTCCCGAGGCCACTGCCGGGGGTCCCGGGCGGCAGAGGCAGGGCGCGGGGCGGGGGAGGCCGGGGCGGGCGGGTCGGGGAGCGACGGCGGCGGGGCCGGCCGGGGGGCAGAGAGGACCACGCCGCCCCGCACCCCCTGGACGGGGACCCGAGGGGCGGCCCCAGCGGGCCCCGGGACCTGGCGGCGAGGGGGTGGGGGCCGGGCCCCGGATCCAGGTGGCACCGGCGACTCTCGGCCCCGCGGCCTCCCCTCCCCCAGCCCTGATTGGCAGGCGGCCTGCGACCAGCCGCCAGCGGCACAGCGCCCCGGGCGCCCAGGCGAAGGCGAACGGCCCCCCGCGGGAGTAGGAGGGGGCGTCCGGCTATATATAGCGGCCGGGCCCGGGCCGGCCGAGCGCGCAGCGAGGCGCGCACCGCGACGCGAGGTCCCGGCCCCGCCGCCCCCGGCCCCCGCCGCGCGCCCCGCCGCGCCCCTGCGCCCTCCCGGCCGTGCGCCCCGCGACGCGCGCGTCCGCCCGGCCACCCGCAGCGGCCCCCGCGCGGGGATGGCGGGGCCCGGAGCGGCGCTGCTCCCGGCCGTGGTGCTGGCCGTGCTGGCGCCCTGGGCCGGCCGCGGGGGCGCCGCCGCGCCCACCGCACCCAACGGCACGCTGGAGGCCGAGCTGGAGCGCCGCTGGGAGAGCCTGGTGGCGCGCTCGCTGGCGCGCCTGCCCGCCGCGGCGCAGCCCCAGGAGGCGGCCGTGCAGAGCGGCGCGGGCGACTACCTGCTGGGCCTCAAGCGGCTGCGGCGGCTCTACTGCAACGTGGGCATCGGCTTCCACCTCCAGGTGCTCCCCGACGGCCGCATCGGCGGCGTGCACGCGGACACGAGCGACAGTGAGTGCGGCGGGGCGGCGGCACCCGGCGCGCGGCACCTGCTGCCGGGCGCCGGGCACCGCGGCGGGCTGGCCACGCGGGGCCCGCGGCGTTCTGAGCCCGGGGAGTCGCCGGGAGTCCGGCTTGGCGCGCCCCGCGGCCGAGCCCCGCCTCCCCGCCTTCGGACGCGGGCCGGGGGGCCGAATTCCAGCGCCTTCGCCCGTGGGCACAGGAGCGCGCGCGCCGCCGCTGGCATCCGCGGGGGGCGGGGGGGGCGCGGCCCGGGCCCCGCGCCCAGGTTGGGGCCGGCCGGGGGAGGCGGGCGGGACGACGGGACGGTCAGCTGGCGGCCGCGACCCCGAGCTGGCGTGCCCTGCAGGGCCCTGGCCGGGACACAGGAACGGGGGTCCCCGGGCTCTGCAGGCCGAGGGAGGAGGAGTCGGCGGGGTGCGGCACGGCACCGCTCCGACCCCCGTAACCTGCGCCCCACCCCCAGGCCTGCTGGAGTTGTCGCCGGTGGAGAGGGGCGTCGTGAGCATCTTTGGGGTGTCCAGCCGGTTTTTCGTGGCTATGAACAGCCGCGGCAAACTGTACGGCTCGGTGAGTGCTGGGGGACCCCACTGGGCTGGGGGGCCGGGAACCCCAGGAGGCCACCCACTGCCCTCAAGCAACCCCTCGTCTGGGACCAGTTGGCACTGCGTGAGGAGGGGGCTTCAGGGGCGGCGGGGTCCCCTTCAGCGGGAGCCCAGCCTGGGGATGGAAGGCGGCTCCGCGCGCGCCCCCCAATGTCTCCGAGCCCCGGCTCGCAGGACACATTTCTGCCGGCGTAACCCTCTGCCTCCTCCTCCAGCCGTTCTTCACTGACGAGTGCAAGTTCAAGGAGATTCTGCTGCCGAACAACTACAACGCCTACGAGTGCTACCAGCACCCGGGCATGTTCATCGCGCTCAGCAAGACCGGCAAGACGAAGAAGGGGAACCGGGTATCCCCCACCATGAAGGTCACCCACTTCCTCCCCAGGCTGTGACGACCTGGGGGGGGCCCTCCTCCCGGAGTTCCCGGCAGGGGGGCAGGAAGGCGGCTGGGGCCACTCCCCACGGACCCTCTCCAGCCAGAGAAGCTGTAAGATAGTTAAGTTAATTATTTAAATATGTATATATTGCCGCCAGATTATTTATGGTTCTGTGGGTGCGTTTTTGTACTCTCCCTAAGAAAGGACACACAAAAGCCACCCCCCCGCCCCCACCAACCCTCTTTCCCGGTGGAGCCACCGACAGGATTTTCTCTGTCCAAATTGTCGCAAGTGTTGTGGTGGGGGGGACATCCGTCTCCATCCCTGCCCCGCCTTGGGGTGCCTGCAGGCCGCCGGTGGCGCTGCCCCGTCTGCAGAATTCTTCCCTGGGGCTTTGGAAGCCGTCGGAGGACGCCTCCCGCTCTCACCAACGCCTGCTCCCTGTTGCTGTTAATCGGGACATATCGGTTTACTCTGGGGACAGAGCGCCCATGTCATTCCGCCACCGCCTCCGTTTTTAGACCGGCCGGGACTGACCTTTGAACTCTGCTGTAGTCAATCTTCCTCGATCTACCCGCCGGGAGAGACCCTCAGACAACTTGGTCAAGGCCTGCCTGCCTGCCTGCCTGCCTGCCTGCCTGCCTGCCTTGGGGGCGCTGACAGAGCCCTGGTGCGGCCAGAATGGACTAGAAGGGGCGTCCTGGCCGCCGGACGCTCCCAGGGACGGTGCAAGTTGCAAGAGAGTCTGAGATGGGGGGAGGGGAAGGCGATCGGCTTCTCCGTGGGGGAAACGGTTAATTGTAAGTGAAAAGTCCTTGTAATTGTACAAAGCAGCGCTCGCCCCGGGGCGTGTCTGGAGAAGTTTCGTTTCCCCAGGCGTGCCAGGGCTGCAGCGGCGGCGTTAGCATCTACCTCACAAGCGTGGCCGCCCTGGGAACGCCCCGGGGTGCAGCCGTTTTTTGCACTCTGAGGGGGTGACAGCGCCCGCGGTGCGCCTCCAAGGGACCTCGTCACGTTTGAGCTATCTTTACCCCGCGATTTACTTTTAGTAAGGATAATCATGGGGAAAATATTTGCAGACAGCTGTTCCGAGTGCACTATATGGTCGCCGAGTAACCTTAGATTTTTCTTTATATATTTTACAAATGTAACCCCTGTCGGGTTGCAGGGATGGAAGAGGCAAGGTCGGGCCGTTTTAAAAAAAGTCCCGAGGTGATGGCAAGCATTTAATTTTAATGAATGACTTTTTCGAGTTTATACAAAAGGGCCTTCGCTGGCTACCAGGAATATTCGGAATGCTTCCTCCAGACTCCCGCTCGGCCGCGCGGGGCTGAACTGTCTCCCAAATTAACTTTATAGGAGTCCACAGACAGCAAGGCTGCAAGGCTGCTTTTGTCTTTCACATTCCTTTTTAAAACACTTTGTTTGCATGCAAATCATCTACTTAAAATACCATTCTTACCCCGAGAGCAGGAGCCTCCTGCAAAATCCTCCGACGGGACCAGAGCACACTGGCAGAACCCTAAAATGCTGATATTTAAGACCTCGCCAGGGCTCCTCGGAGCACGGCCTGGGCACCGCGGGCGCTGGCGTGGGAACGAGCCTTGTGCCATCTGCGGGGTCTTTCCCGGTGTCACGTCTTGTCCCGTTGCCGCTGCCCCGCACCCCCCTCGGCCGCCGGCAGCACCGGGTCTGTGGAAAGCCTCGCGCGTGGTCTTCCTGCGTTTTTGTGACGGTTCTGGGGGCGGGAGGTGTTTGCGTGTCCGACGGCTCCTGGTGTAGCTTGAACCAGGTGCCACCACCCACGGTGTCATGTGTGTGCCGTGCACACGAGAATCCAGAATAAACGGGAAGCCTTTCACGCGTGGACTCGCTGTCACTGAGGAAGGCACCGCCCGCCCTGCGGACCTGCCCTGGGATGCCCCAGCCTGTGCCCTCCCGCCTCTGCCAGGGTCCTCGGTCGGTCAGGACCTGGAGCTTGCAGGGGGTGGGGTGCGGTGGGGGTGGGGAAGATGAATTTCAGCCAGCTGTGTCCACAACTGGCCTGGGGCGGGCGGTGTCTCCGTCCCATTGCCTGAAGCTGGCAGCTTCTCACGGCAGGGTTAATTCACACCATTCCACAGGGACTACCCCCCCAGGTACCCCACTTTAGCCCATGCTACCTCAGGCCATTTGCACTTCCTGCTGGAGGGGGTCCTCCCCCTCCCCCCACCAGAACGCTGAGCAGTGAATGCTTGAGTACTTTGCAAACAAACAGGCTTTGGATTTGAACCTGCCTTCTCAGGGGTTTCAGAGCAGCACCCCTAATCCCCCTCACGGAGAAAGTTCCAGAAATGACAGTCACAGGAGGGCGCAGGCTGGGAGAGCCCTGAGTTGCAAGGATACTCACTTCCCAGGGCTGATAAACACTCTGGGATGTGACTTGTGTAAAGGAGATTGAACGGGAGGCTGGAGCGATGGGACAACTGGTTGGTTGCACACAGCCACCGGGTTCAATCCCCAGCATCCCATAGGGTCCCCTGAGCACCACGAGGAGTGATCCCTGTGTGCAGAGCCAGGAGTAACTAACCCCTGAGCATCGCTGGGTGTGACCCAAAAAGGTAAAGGTAAAGGTAAAGGCCCTCCCGTTGATCGTCGATTTGCTCGAGCAGGCCCAGTAACGTCTCCATTGGAGACTTTGTTGTTACTGTGTCTGGCATATCGAATACTCTCGGTAGCTTGCCGGGCTCTCCGAGAGGGGCGGAGGAATTGAACTCGGGTCGGCCATGTTGGCCGCATGCAAGGCAAACGCCCTACCCGCTGTGCTATCGCTCCAGCCCTTTTTTTGGGTGTGACCCAAAAAAGCAAAAAAAAAAAAAACTGAACTTGGACATGCAGCGCTTAGAATCAGTGATCCCCCCACCCCCCCACCCAGGAAACATCCACTCTGGACAGAAAGACCTAGAATGTGGGGCCAGACGCACATGTGCAGCCGGTTGGGCACTGCCCAGCTCACAGCCAGCTGGGGGTTGCTCCCTGGTACCCCATCTGACTCCCCAAGGCCCACCAGAGTGGTCCCTGAGTACTGCCAGTTGTGGGCCAGAGGAGCAGACCTGAAGCAAGTCCACCTCAGTGGAGGCTGGTTCCCTCCCCAGCATGAAAGGGGCTGCAGAGAGCTGGACACAGGAGGGGCTTGGCCACTCGCCTTGCTTGTGGCCGACCCAGAGCATTGCCCAGCCAGGAGTGATCCTCCGGAGCACAGAGACAGGAGTAGGTGCCGAGCACCAGCCCAAAGACTCTCTATGAGCAGGTGTGGGGGATCCCTTTGCTGCCACGGGTCTCATCTGAGGGTATCGTGGTCTCAGACTCACAGGACATTTGTGGCATCACAGATTCAAGTGTGTCCCTGGGGCCGGAGCCATAGGACAGTGGGTGGGGACACAGCCAACCTCGGTTCAATTGTCCACACCCCAGTGGGTCTCCTGAGCCCAGCCAGGAGTGAGCACAGAGCACAGAGCCAGGAGTGAGCCCTGAGCATCCCTGGGTGTGACTTTGGAGCGAAACAAAAATGTTCCCAGGCTGGCGCGGTAGCATGGCGGGTAGGGCGTTTGCCCTGCACGCGGCTGACCCAGGTTCAATTCCCAGCATCCCATATGGTCCCCCGAGCACTGCCAGGAGTAATTCCTGAGTGAAGAGCCAGGAATAAGCCCTGTGCAACGCTGGGTGTGACCCCAAAAAAAAAAAAAGTTGTTCCCTGGGGTTGGAAGGGTAAGTTAAGGCACATTGCTGGCTGGGCCTTACTGACTCTCCAAGCACCGTGGGTGGTCTCCGAGCACCCTGGAAGTGGCCCCTGAGTGCAGCCTTTGTGGTCTGATACCCCGCTTTCCGCTGGTGTGTGTGTGTGGAGTCTCAGTCCTAAGAAGCTGCTGCCTGGGCCAGAGTGGTAGCACAGTGGGGAGGGCATCTGCCCTGCACGTGGCTGACCGGGTTCGATTCCCAGCATCCCATATGGTCTCCCGAACAGCGCGAGGAGTGATTCTGAGTGCAGAGGCAGGAGTAACCCCTGTGCACCACTGGGTGCGACCCAAAAAGCAAAAAAGAAGACGAAGAAGAAGAAGAAGAGGCCGCGCCTCATTCAATGCCAGTGGAAAGGAAGCCTTGGGTGCGGGGAGGGGCCAGGAGACAGTCAAAGGGCTGAGTGTGGGTTCCGCATCGGGACCCTCAGGTCCCAACCCCCGCACCCCACAGTTCCCCAGCACTGCCAGGTGTGGCCCGAAAACCAAATAGCACAATGCAGAGAGTCAGGAGGAGGTGGGGATGGGGGTGTCGGGGCCGCACTGCAGAGAACCCCAAAGCGCAGGCAGTGGGCAAGAGTGGGCCCGAACGTCCTTGCTCCCACAGCACCCCCGACCCGAGCCCTGGCTGCCTGGCAGGCCCAACCCACTCTGCATCCAGAGCCTGCAGTATAGACCGCAGAAACCTGCAGTGTAGACCAGAGTGTGCTGAGCACAACCGGAGCAGCCCAGCCACACTTTATCCTATCCGTTTTGTTTTCACTGGGGGGCCCCCCTGGCGGTGCTCAGGGGCCCTGGGAGGTGTGCCAGGCCAGCTCCCACCCCTGCGCTCACTCTGCGGACCCCCGGCCCCCAGCTTTGAAGGCAACTTAGGGTGGACTCGGCCAAGGAGTTCTCTGTGCAGTCCGGGGTTGGGGGGTGGGGGGCCGGACCTGCAAATGGGGAGTCCTGGGCACGGAGCAGGGGAGGGCAGGACAGGCCTGGGGTGTGGACGCTGGCCCGTGACCTCCGCGGGGTGACCTTGGGCCTGTCTGGCCTCCAGCGCGGCCCCACCTCCAACTCGCTGGTGTGAAAAAGGAGAAGAAGAAGCTGCTGAAGTGATTGTTATTCCCCCAGCTCAGCCTGGTCTTCAGGTGCAAATCCCCTGCTGGGACCCGGCCCTGTCCCCAGGGGCCCCTGGCCAGCCCAGGCCCCAGGCTGCCCGCGCCACGTGGAGCCTCTCTCTGACCAAGTGGCAGTGTT